AAGAGATGAGTTTTGATTTCTAAATGTAACTAACAATGCAATTTAAATCAAGCAATGCAAAACAAGATGAAAGAAAGCAATAATCAAAAGACTAACAAGATTCGAATTGAAACAAAGCGGGAAAAGAATATTACTAAGCAATAATTAAAGACGAATCCTCGGGTTAAGGTAATTGACTAGGAGCGATAAAGAAGCGGATTATGGAGCTAACAACTTCAAACAAGCATTAATCCTTAGGCCATAGACACTAAACTAGACTAATCCATTTCCATGACAATAATCACTTTACTAATCAAATAATCATCAACTTCTTCCAAAGGCAATTAAATGATCAACAAGCATTAATAACAAGTCTATCTAGCCACTAAACATCCTAATCAACATTTTTTCCAATGGCAAGGAGTGTAAAGCACTTAAAAGTTTTGGTTCGGGAATTTCATCGAACACCTTCCGGGCGTGAAACTCCTAAGCTCTAAATCAACATTAACAAAGTTGATTTAGCCTTATTAACAACCAATAAGCAAGGATCTTAAACTATCTAGTCCTAAACTCCATAACCCAACTCCATAAACCAACTCCAAAAAGCTCCTAATCTACCTAACCCAAAGATTCAAAATGACTACTCACTCATGGTCATGAAAGCACAAAGTAATGTGTTTGATCTTTGTGAAATCATGATTAGAGATTGTAGATTAAGAAAAGGAAGAAGTAATTATATTAAAACTTAAAGATTCACTACAAAATCCAAAGAAGAACCTTAAAACATAGCATAAGATCCATAAATTTAGGCCTTGAAACATTTATATAGTATAAGAAATCGATCCGGGTTAACCCGAGATAAACCGGGTCAAACCCAAAGTCTTTATATCCAACCGGTCGATTGTATGGTCGATTGAAAACTTGTTTTGGCGTCTGTTTCAATCCAACCGACCTGTCAACGGACCTGTTGGTCGACTGGAATTCTCGATGGCTTCTATCTTCGTTCTGTATGGATATACTCTCACTACATCAGTCATAACTCATGCACCATAACTCTGATTGGCCTGAAAACACCACCGTTGGAAAGCTAATTCGATTTCCTATCACTTTTGTTCAGAGCTTCAAAGCTAAATCACAAGTTCCAGCCTTCATCTGAGTCGATCTTTGAGGGACTTCGGACTGGATCTGCATCATCAATCCTCCACTTTGCATTCAAACATGTGTCTTATATTATCTTAACCTGAAATAACTTAAAAGACACCCAAAATACACTAAAACACACTCAAAGACACTATATGACTTCTAAAAAGCAAGAAGACTCATTTAGACACTAAATGCAACAAAACACAATGAAAATACAATTGAAACATGATAAAAAGGATAATAAAACCCTTAATAAAGCTGTAAATATGATGTGTATCAACTCCCCCAGACTTGCCTTTTGCTTGTCCTCAAGCAAACAATCTAAATAAAGGCCAAGAGAGAAGCTTGAAGGAGGAATTCAATAACCACAAAATATCAAGCAAATGATTCAAACCAAAGTGATACATTGTTGGGCCAGCGACCTCCCATTCTGCACCAGTATAAGAGAAGGAACAAGGCCAGAACCCAAGTTGAAGCCCATCAGGCTTAAAGACAACAAAGAGAAGCTTCGAGAAGGAAGTAGAGATTAGGATGAGAGGTCTCTACCCTAGTTAATCTTTTGATTACCTTAGTTATGGAATAACTGTGGTTAGTTTGCTAGCTGGCAGCTGACTACTTGCTTTAGGGTCTAACGGCTTTGTGTGAGAAGCTGTATAAAGATAGTAGTAGTAGTTTGGAGTCTAGTATCCAAGAAATTGGTATCGTCTTGTGAAAGGGGTGGGAGAGGTACCTAAGTCTCTCAAGTTTGTATCTTTTTGATCCAATAATAAATAAATATCTTTCTGTTACATTGTTCTTGTTAATTTCTGTACTAAATCGTATCAAACTTGGTATCAGAGCATACAAGATTCTGGGAAAATCACTGCATCATGGGGCCAACAAAAATGGACCAGATGGAGAAGACCGTGGAAGCGATGCAACAGGACATCCAGAAAATCACTGTGTTGGAAGACGATGTTAAGGAGATGAAGAAGCAGCTCGAGAAGCTTGACGCCATGGAAAAGCAGATGGGGAAGTTGGATATCTTGGAGCTGCTCCAGAAACGTTTGATGGGGGAAGAACGGCGCTCATGGGTCACCGAACCAGGCACCAGTGAAGAACCTCTGAACTCAGGCGTCGCGGCGCCAACAACCGAAGTCGCACAACGGCTGTTCACACAGAGTCTGCCGCCAGCGACGACGCAGACAACTACGACGGGGCCGACACTCGCTGTAGCAGAGGCGCACGACAAAAACGAACCATTAACACGCAAAATCGAAATCCCTCTGTTCGATGGGTCTAACGCCGACGGCTGGGTTCACCGCGTGGAACAGTACTTTGAAATGAGTGAGTTTTCCGAGGAGGAGAAGCTCCGCGCTGTGCGGATGTGTTTTGATGGCGACGCTCTCGTCTGGTACCGTTGGGAACGTGAATGCAATCCGTTCCTCGGCTGGGAACAGATGAAGGATCGGGTCCTTGAAAATTTTTCCGTTACACACGACTTGTCAGCAGGTGAACGACTGTTACTCCTCCGGCAGGACGACACCACAACCAAGTTCTGTAAGGATTTTATAGCACTCGCTGCGAGTGCTCCGGAAATTTCAGAGACAGTTTTGGAGATGGCTTTCATGATCGGGTTAAAACCGAAGATTAGAGCAGGGGTGAAGATGTTCGAGCCGCGTTCGCGGAAGAAAATGATGAGCTTGGCTCGAAAGGTGGAAGATTGGTCCGGCGACTCACCAACGGACAGTTCATCGGAGTATTTCCACAAAACGACACCTCGGGTTGGTGTGGAACGCGTGACAACACGTGGCAGCCAAAGCACCAGTGGAGGGGCTTTTTCGTCTTTTCCGAAACAGCCTTCCTTTCAGGAGACTCAAACGGCGTCGCATAAACCTTCGGTCGACAAACCTAACACTTCCACTCATCGACCTAATGACAATCGGCGACCACCATATCGTCGGCTGACAGACGCCGAATCGAACGAGAGGCGTGCTAAAGGCTTATGCTTTCGTTGCGATGAGCGCTACCACATCAACCACAAATGTAAGAGAAATGAGCTACTAGTTCTGTTGGTCAATGAGGGCGACGAAGGGGTGCGTGAGGATGAAGAGCTCGCTGACAACTCGCTACCAGAGACCACGGAGGAAATCACGGAGTGTGCTGTGCTCTCGCTCCATTCTGCGGCGGGTATATCTTCTCCCTGTATGATGAAGCTACGGGGCCAAATCTGTCAGGACGACGTTCAGGTGCTAGTTGACAGTGGAGCTTCGCATAACTTCCTCTCTCACACGGTGGCGTCACGTCTCGACATCACAACCAAGGGAACCAAGGAGTATGGGGTTCGTATGGGTACTGGCTTGTTGGTGCGCGGATCAGGAGTGTGTCAAGGCGTGAAATTGGAATTGCCAGACTATACTTTGATTACCAATTTTCTTCCTCTGGATTTAGGAGGCATCGACGTTATCCTGGGAATGCAGTGGCTGGAGACATTGGGAGAAATGAAAGTGAACTGGAAGGAGCAAGTTATGAAGTTCTCAGTCGGAGACAAGGCAGTGACATTGCGAGGAGACCACAGCCTTACCAATACCGCGGTATCGCTGCGCAGTTTATGGAAAACAATTAAGCGTGAAGGAGAAGGAATGTTGGTGGAATTCAATGGCCTACATCATAGTACATCAGAGACTCAATACCCACCAAACCACGTTGTACTGCCACTACTCGAGGAGTTTGCTGAAGTGTTTGCGGAACCTCAAGGCCTACCACCTTCTAGGGGGGAGGAGCATGCTATCAACCTTAAGGCAGGCTCAGAACCGGTGAGCGTCCGGCCCTTTCGCTACCCTCAGGCACAAAAGGCGGAACTGGAGAAGCAGATCACGACGATGTTAGCAGCAGGGATCATACGGGAGAGTGCAAGCCCTTTTTCCAGTCCGGTTTTGTTGGTGAAGAAGAAAGACGGCAGCTGGAGATTCTGTGTAGATTATAGAGCTCTTAACAAGGCCAAAGTTCCGGACAGCTACCCCATTCCAATGATCGACCAGCTTCTAGACGAATTACATGGAGCACATGTATTTTCTAAGCTTGATCTGCGCTCTGGCTATCATCAAATTTTGGTCAAGGTAGAGGATGTGCACAAAACCGCTTTTCGCTCCCATGATGGCCATTATGAGTTCTTGGTTATGCCATTTGGCTTAACCAATGCTCCCGCTACCTTTCAGTCCTTAATGAATGAGGTATTCCGGCCCTTCTTGCGCAAGTTTGTATTGGTGTTTTTTGACGACATCCTCGTCTACAGCAAGACTTCGGCAGAACATCAACACCATTTAAAGGCAGTTCTTCAAGTTCTACAGGACAACGAGCTGTATGCCAACCGAAAGAAGTGCCAGTTTGGCAGCCAGCAGGTGGAGTACTTGGGCCATGTGATCTCAGCGCAGGGAGTAGCAGCAGATCAGGCAAAGATCAAAGCCATGGTGGAATGGGCAGAACCAACCAACATCAAGGCTTTGAGAGGGTTTCTTGGACTCACGAGGTACTATCGCAAGTTTGTGAAGGGGTTCGGGGATATAGCCAGGCCCTTAACAGAAATGCTAAAGAAGGATCAGTTTGGGTGGAGTGAAAGGGCCAGGGAGGCTTTTCAGCGACTCAAGACAGCCATGATCACAGTCCCAGTACTTGCTCTTCCAAATTTTTCTAAGCTATTTGTGGTGGAATCTGATGCTTCGGAAGCGGCTTGGGAGCAGTGCTCATGCAAAGGGATAAGCCAATTGCCTACTACAGCCACTCCTTGACAGACAGACAGAGACTCATGGCAATTGTCTTTGCAATTCCTAGGAAGGAAGTTTTTAGTGAGGACGGATCAAAAAAGTCTCAAGTTCTTGTTGGAGCAGCGTGAAATCAATATGGAGTATCAAAGGTGGTTGACTAAACTGTTGGGGTTCGATTTTGACATCCACTACAAGCCAGGATTGGAAAACAAAGCAGCTGATGCCTTGTCGAGAAAGGAAGTGGTGCCATCCTTGTTCGCTCTATCCGTTCCTGCTGCCATTCAACTGGAAGAGATATGCGTAGCAGTGGACAGAGACCCCGAATTGCAGAAAGTCATAAAGGAATTGTCAGCAGATAAGGCGACTCATCCGGATTACTCGATGGTACAAGGGAGGCTGCTGCGACAGGGAAAGCTGGTAATACCAAAAGGGTCTCTTATTACTGGATTAATCATGAGGGAGTTCCATGATGGAAAACTTGGAGGCCATGGGGGCGTGTTAAAGACGCAAAAACGCATTGCCGAACTGTTCTACTGGACAGGTATGCTGCAAGACATCAAGCAGTACGTCGCGGCTTGTCAGGTATGCCAACGATACAAATACTCCACTCTCTCTCCGGGGGGTCTGTTGCAGCCCTTGCCAGTGCCTCAAAGAATTTGGGAGGACATATCCATGGACTTTGTAGAAGGCTTGCCCAAATCAGGAGGCTACAATGCGGTGCTGGTTGTGGTGGATCGCCTATCCAAGTACAGCCATTTTTTGAAGCTCAAGCACCCCTTTACAGCAACTGAAGTAGCCAATCTGTTCATACAAGAGATTGTCAAGCTCCAAGGATTTCCAAGGACAATCGTCTCGGACAGGGACAAGGTTTTCACAAGCCAGTTTTGGAAGGAGGTCTTTAGGTTGGCAGAAACAAGCCTCTGCTTCAGTACTGCCTACCACCCATAAACGGATGGGCAGACAAAAGTAACCAACAGAAGCCTGGAGTCGTATTTGAGATGTTTAGCAGGGGATCAACCACGCACTTGGGTTCAGTTCTTACCGTGGGCAGAACTCTGCTACAACTCGTCCTTCCATTCTTCTATTCATATGACTCCATTTCAGGCAGTATATGGCAGGGAACCTCCAACCTTGGTAAAATATGAGGACGGGTCTACTTCTAATGTTGGGTTGGAACAACAATTGAAGGAGAGGGATGCAGCCCTAGCTCTCATCAAAAGCCATTTACACAAGGCTCAACACAGGATGAAGAAGAAAGCAGATGAGCATAGAAGGGAGGTTGAGTTCGCAGTGGGAGACATGGTTTTCTTGAAAATGAGGCCCTACAGACGCAAATCACTAGCTCGCCGTGTTAATGAAAAGCTCTCTGCTCGCTTTTATGGACCATATCAGGTGGAAGCACGCGTGGGGAAGCTGGCTTACCGCCTGAAGTTGCCAACAGAGGCTAAAATACACCCTACATTCCATGTATCCCAGTTAAAGAAAGCAGTGGGGAATCAGCAAGTGGTGGTGTCTGTTCCGGCTCAACTCACTGAGGAAGGAATCTTGAACGTGGAACCAGAGGCAGTTCTAGGCTTCAGACAACACCCAGTCTCAGGTCAGCAGGAGGTTCTCATTCAATGGAAGGACCTACCGGATTATGAGAACTCCTGGGAATGGGGATCAACCATTCAAGGTCAGTTCCCAACATTTGATCTTGAGGACAAGGTGAATTACAAAGGGGGCGGTAATGATACATTGTTGGGCCAGCGACCTCCCATTCTGCACCAGGATAAGAGAAGGAACAAGGCCAGAACCCAAGTTCAAGCCCATCAGGCTTAAAGACAACAAAGAGAAGCTTCGAGAAGGAAGTAGAGATTAGGATGAGAGGTCTCTACCTTAGTTAATCTTTTGATTACCTTAGTTATGGAATAACTGTGGTTAGTTTGCTAGCTGGCAGCTGACTACTTGCTTTAGGGTCTAACGGCTTTGTGTGAGAAGCTGTATAAAGATAGTAGTAGTAGTTTGGAGTCTAGTATCCAAGAAATTGGTATCGTCTTGTGAAAGGGGTGGGAGAGGTACCTAAGTCTCTCAAGTTTGTATTTTTTTGATCCAATAATAAATAAATATCTTTCTGTTACATTGTTCTTGTTAATTTCTGTACTAAATCGTATCACAAAGTCTTCAAAGATAGTTTCAAAGGTGCTTCAATCAATCATCGTACTCTCAAATATTTTCTCATGCCTAAGTTAATGCAATCTTCTAGTTCATTCTCATTCCATTAGCAAAGACTCATAATCAAGTTGAAACATATCTTTAACATTCATTAAAGTGTTTGGCGCGGTCTCGCAAATGGTAAGTGAATCAATCTCAATCGGTTTAGGGTAAAGGCTTTTTGAGGTGGCTTTGTTTGTTTGTTTCTTTGGGTGACTAACTCTCAACTGAAATGAATGCTAGACAATCATGAAATCCATCTAAGACCAAGAACAATTTATGCATACAAAGATTAGCTCTTGTTGTTCTACCCATCTTAGATATAGGATCCTAATTTCTACCCTTTGCAAACCTTTTTCTTTTTTTCTTTTCAAACCACACCCATTGGACACTTTTGGTCTCTTTTCTTATCAAAACACAACCCTCATGATCAAAACCTTATTATTCATTAGCCACCTAGGGAACCCTTTCTTTAAACACTAAACTCTTATTTAATCCAACTTTCTTTGTCAACCTTTGCAAAACTTTTCCTTTTTTGGAGACTATCTTACCCAATTCTTTCTTTTACTTAGGTCCAGAGCTTCCTTTCTTATAACTTTAATTCCCTAGGGACTCCTTTTAAACTCAATGAATAAAGGCTAACACTTCTTATTCCATCCTTTTCTTTTTCTTCTTTCTCCCAAACCCAACCCAAATATACAATCTAACCACCTAACTCTTTCATTCCCTAACCAATAGCTAGCTCATAATGTTCCAAATACTAGCTAAAAACAAGAGCTAATGCCTTGTCGTTCTCGATTCTCTCAAGATTTCACAATCTATAGCATTATCAAGAAGAGGCCTCACTCACAAAATCAATTCAAGGGTTGAAATGAAAGGTAAGGGTTAAGGGTAAAGGGACTTTCGAATCATTCAATAGAGTGGTGAAAGGGTATATGATTCGATTAAGAAGAATTTACCATGAGAATGCATTCAAAAACCATAAGCGAGAGAATTAGATTCAAATTAAGTCCAAATACATAGCGATGCTTCAAAGATCATGTAAGTTTCACACAAGAAGAGATTTCTCTCAAAGAATGCAAAGGTCTAAGCATGAATTTTCATTTCTTTCCAAGATGATCAAGCAACAATGAACCATGATCGAGGGCTTTAATTTCAGTCATAAGATTGAATTTCAACAAGGCATATGAATCATCACTTCCAATGCTTGTGCAAATGCAAGCTATATGCTACTAGACTCAATCCTAAAGATAGAAATGACTATGCAAAACTACATGCATGTTTTTGAATTTTTCAAAATTTTCAAATTTTTTTGATTTTTCTCAAAACAAAGCTATTAACAAATGCAAGACTCAAGAGAATAAAAAACAAAACAAAACACATCATTAGATACCTAGTCCCTCCCCCAAACTTAATTCACACCGTCTCGGTGTGATAAAAGGATGAGGAAGAGACTAACAAAAAAAGAAATTAAAATAAGACTTAAAACGGTATATACAATGAAAGGTGAAGCCATACCTTGGCCCTAGTTGTGAACCTTAGGGAGGAGAGTGAGAGGAGGAGTGGAACTCCTTGGTAGGCTAGTTGGAGGGGTTGAAAGAGTGTGGAGATTGGAATGGTTGGACCGTGTTACACCATTGAGGTTGATGGTGATGACCCTTGAGAGGAACTCTTGAAGTCTATCTTGGTCGTTTTGAAGTTCGGGTTGGATTCTTGCTTTGACACTTGCAAAAGGAGTAGAAGAACCCTTACACTTCACCTTATACTCAATTTTTCCATCTATTAGCTTCAAGGGAAGCAAGCTCATGGTGTTAGAGGAAGGAACATAGTTGGGAGGGTGGGTTTGTTTCTTCTTCTTCTTGTTGGCTTCAAGGCATCTTTTAGCTTTACCTAAATACTCCTCTTCACCATTGTATTTATACTCATCAACTAAAGAGGCTAGACACTCACAATCCATGATGTTTTCATCAAGCTTTATGGTCTCTTTATTCCTCACATTAACAACTTTGTTCTCTTCATGTTGATAAGTCAAGTCTCTAGTCACTTTCTTACTCTTCATATCTTCATGTTGAGAAGCCAAGCTAGTGATCTTACCATTAAGAGCATTGTACATCTCATCTATCTTGTTGTGCATATCGATACACCTCTTACCAAAATCCATATAATCCTTAGTTTCGCATTCTAAAACTTGTTTCAACATGGAATTCACTTCATTATCTTGAGGAGGAGCTGAAGATAAGATTGTCCTTGGTTTGTGAATTGAGGACTTGGTTGAAATCCTTGCTCTTGTTGAACTTGGCATAATATTTCCTGTGAATATCTCCATGTGTAATCGTCTTGTGGTATCTCTAGAGACGATTGATCACATATCTCATTGCACCTTTGATTGCTTTCCGCCAAATTCTCAACAAGTAACTCTCCTTGTTCGATTGTGAGATTTACAAAACTTCCGTTGCTAGCAACGTCCAATCTCCATTTTAGCTCCTTACTAATTCCCCTATATAAAATACTAAGGATAACTTCCTTGTTGAATCCATGATGAGGACAATCTCGAGTATATCCCTTAAGTCTTCCCCATGCTTCATAGAAACTTTCATTGATACCTTGCTCAAAGCCCAATATGTCCTTCCTCACTTTGGCCGTTCTTTGCTTAGAGTAGAACTTGAGAAGGAATGTCCTCTTACAGTCATCCCAAGAGTTGACCAAATGTGATGGTATTGCTCTCTCCCATCGGCTTGCTTTTTCTCCAAGAAAAATGGAAACAAAATGAGCTTGATACTATCATCGGGCACACCTCCAATCCTAAATGTGCTATACAACCTCAAAAAGGAGTCCAAATGATCATATGGATTCTCCATAGCTAGTCCCAAGAATTGAGAGCCTTGAATCAATCTAATCAAACTTGGCTTGATTTCATAAGCATTGGCTTCTATTGGAGGAGGTCGGATTCCATATCTTGACTCATGACAATGAGGAACATCAAAACTTCCTATTGTGGTTGTCTCCTCTCGAGCATAAGTTGGATTTACTCTCAAATCTTGAGGTTGTGGAGCTTGAATAGTGTTAGTGCGAATGTCCACATCCAACACCTTAAATGACCTTGTCTTCCCATTCTTCTTATTTTGATTTGAGTACCTTCGAAAGCACAAGAGAATCAAAGAAGACAAGTTAGTAACAACAAACCAAAGAGAGCTCATCATCTCAACTAGATGTGTGAATCTAATCATATGCGAAAAGTAAATGGCTTAGTCTCAAGCAAAAATTAAATCCTAATGGCTAATTGATATTGCTCCCCAGCAGCGGCGCCAAATTGATGTAGCAATTTTTACCCGATCAATTAAATTATCGAACCTCAAGGAGCAATTAATTAACACACCAAGAATACACAAATTTGTTTAATCTAAGCTTAATAAGAGATGAGTTTTGATTTCTAAATGTAACTAACAATGCAATTTAAATCATGCAATGCAAAACAAGATGAAAGAAAGCAATATCAAAAGACTAACAAGATTCGAATTGAAACAAAGCGGGAAAAGAATATTACTAAGCAATAATTAAAGACGAATCCTCGGGTTAAGGTAATTGACTAGGAGCGATAAAGAAGCGAATTATGGAGCTAAAAACTTCAAACAAGCATTAATCCTTATGCCATAGACACTAAACTAGACTAATCCATTTCCATGACAATAATCACTTTACTAATCAAATAATCATCAACTTCTTCCAAAGGCAATTAAATGATCAACAAGCATTAATAACAAGTCTATCTAGCCACTAAACATCCTAATCAACATTTTTTCCAATGGCAAGGAGCGTAAAGCACTTAAAAGTTTTGGTTCGGGAATTTCATCAAACACCTTCCGGGCGTGAAACTCCTAAGCTCTAAATCAACATTAACAAAGTTGATTTAGCCTTATTAACAACCAATAAGCAAGGATCTTAAACTATCTAGTCCTAAACTCCATAACCCAACTCCATAACCCAACTCCAAAATCCTCCTAATCTACCTAACCCAAAGATTCAAAATGACTACTCACTCATGGTCAAAGCACAAAGTAATGTGTTTGGTCTTTGTGAAATCATGATTAGAGATTGTAGATTAAGAAAAGGAAGAAGTAATTATATTAAAACTTAAAGATTCACTACAAAATCCAAAGAAGAACCTTAAAACATAGCATAAGAGCTATAATTTTAGGCCTTGAAACATTTATATAATATAAGAAATCGATCCAGGTCAACTCGAGATAAACCGGGTCAAACCCAACGTCTTTATATCCAACCGGTCGATTGTATGGTCGATTGAAAACTTGTTTTTGGCGTCTGTTTCAATCCAATCGACCTGTCAACCGACCTGTTGGTCGATTGGAATTCTCGATGGCTTCTATCTTCGTCCTGTATGGATATACTCTCACTAAATCAGTCATAACTCATGAACCATAACTCTGATTGGCCTGAAAACACCACCGTTGGAAAGCTAATTCGATTTCCTATCACTGTTGTTCAGAGCTTCAAAGCTATATCACAAGTTCCAGCCTTCATCTGAGTCGATCTTTGAGGGACTTCGGACTGGATATGCATCATCAATCCTCCACTTTGCATTCAAACATGTGTCTTCTATTATCTTAACCTGAAATAACTTAAAAGACACCCAAAACACACTAAAACACACTCAAAGACACTATATGACTTCTAAAAAGCAAGAAGACTCATTTAAACACTAAATGCAACAAAACACAATGAAAATACAATTGAAACATGATAAAAAGGATAATAAAACCCTTAATAAAGCTGTAAATATGATGTGTATCATGGACCAGAAACGAAGTATTCCCTCACACCCTCGTCGTCTCTGTTCCTTCAGTTTGTAGATTTGAGCTCTTGCTCTTTGGTGGTTTCTTTTGGTGCTTTGACACCTTTAGTTGTGTCCTCTGGTGACACTTCCCTTACTGTAGTATGCAGATTCTATTCTGGTCATGTACATGTTCCCGTTTCTATCAGGTTTGATTTCGGATTTTTAATCTCTTTCCCATTAATCTATATGATATATAGGTTGGATAATAGAATCATTAGCCTCATTTGATGGACTTGTGTTCCTATTCTGGTCATAGTAGCCTATGTGAATGTAATGGTAGATTCCAAGGCTTCCTTGGTTTGTTTGCCTTGGTTGTAATTTCGTATTCTGTGTCATGGTTACTCCTTTGTGGAGTTTTATGTTCTATCAAATTCCCTTTTGGTGGAAAAAGGTTTATTGTAGGGATGAAGATCTTCTTCGGTGTAGCTAGGCTCACTTTCTCATGTCTCTGTGATATGGGTCGATGGTCCTCCAACGTCTTTGAAGTTCCCCTATCTGGTGGCTATGTCTTTCACCGTTCTGTCACATTCTCACCGCTAGAGGACGTTCGTGGTTTGAAGACCCCTGTGGAAGCAAATGATGTAATCGTTTCTTGTAACCGTTGTCTTTATTTGGCTGTTTCTTTGGTTAAGCATGTTAGCTCCCCTCTATCCTTATGTCTCCCTTTGAGTTATGTTTTTTTTTTGTTTGTTAGGCTTCTTATACCCTTTTGTATCCTCTCCAAGTAGAGGCAAAACTCGCTTAAATTGAATGAAAATTCATAGTTTGTCCAAAAAAAAAACAGAATTAATTGATTGTTTGAGAGGTCGATTATTTTTGACAGATCTCACAGGTTGGTCTCAAACAAATGGATCAACCAATTGGTTTAGATCAATCGACCGATTGGTAGATTCAATCGACCAATTGAATGAGTTAATCGATCGATTTGTGGGTTCAATCAACCGATTAAAATGTCAACTGATTTTGAGCTGTGCAACGGTTGGTTGGGTCTACTTTTTCCGGTTTTGATCTAACTATTCTTTAGAATAATTCATCCCTTTACATGCTTTCTATCTCTTCTCTTATCCACCAATCCATGATATCAATTTTTGTTTTGCAGAATCGTCTATACTAATATCTTAATGCAGTCTATTCAGAGTTGGTCCAATGTTGCAGATATACAAATAATTTCATTTCTTGAGCAAATTATGTCATTTTCTTGGAGATCTTAAATGACATCAAATTTTACTTGAATAATTATACTTATTCAAATTATTTGTTTATTTAGTACGTATTTATGGACTCATAACTAATATAACATTTAATTAAATAAAAACGAATAAAAATTAATAAATGAAATTTAAATATCCTAAAAGAAATATTATTAAAATGCTTTAGTAATATAATTAGCATGACAAAAATATATATATAATTTAGCGTGCAACAAAATTTGCTTTTAAAAAATATCTTACTTCCAATGATTTAATGTGTTAATGAGATTTATAATGGAAGAAAAAAAATGTATGGTAGCGTAAGAAATAAATCTGCCTATATATAAAACTTATAAACCAGAAATATTGAAAGTCATATATCAGTTCCAAAGAATAGTACACTACAAAGAGATTTTATTTATCACTAAATTTTCAGTTAATCTATATATATAATTGGAGATTTCTCTTTCCATCTAGGTTATCCACATCAGCATCTACCTCATCAATGTTTTTTTTTTTAAATTCAGTATATTTAAAATTTTTATTTAGTACATATTTATGAACTCATAATTAATAGAACATTTAATTATATAAAAACGGATTAAATTGATAGCGTACAAACAAAATCTACCTATATATAAAACGTATAAACCAGAAATATTTAAATTGAAATATCAGTTCCAAAGAATAGTACATCAGAAAGAGATTTTATTTATCACTAAATTTTAAGTTAATATTAAAAAATAATAATTAAAAAATGCATTGTAATGGTCGCACTTTTTTCTGAAATCAGAAAAACTTGATATATTATTAAAGGAAAATCGATTTAACCATGTTGCCAAACAAAAACATTAAATTTTCGTATGAATACTATATTATATTAAAAAAAACTGTTGCCAAACAACTCAAAATACGGATAAACGTGTGGATCTTTTGACCCGCTAATCAAACCCGAAAACTAAATGTTTTAATCTTCGCCGTTCCTTTATAAGTAGAAGCTTCTATTCCTCACCGTCTGATTTTTTGGCCGAAAATTTAATGTTGTAATCTCAGTCGCTCGTTGAAGAAGAAACTTCTAATCCTCACCGTTTAAATTAATAACTAACCATACAATTGTTTGGGCCTTAGTTATAATTTACGTTAGGTAAGACCTTATAAACGCAACACATACATGGCCCTATATACCTTTGCTATAATGGATACATGGCCCTATATACCTTTGCTATAATGGATACATGGCCCTATATACCTTTGCTCTAATGGATTTTAATCTCAAAACTATTATTGTATATTCTCAATAAGGTTGCAAACGGAAATTCCACCCTAATTTCGGATTTGATTATTGACTTAAAGATTCCAAGAGTTATTCGTTTTGATTAATGAAAATTAATGATAATTAAAATTGAATACTAAGATCTTAAATTAAGGAAGATGATACCATAACTACCCTATAATTGATGAGCACAATATACGATTTTGTATTTTTATCCAAAGCAATAACAAATTTTGCAAGCAAGTTTATTTTAATTCTTATTTTAAATATATTCGTAATAATCAAAAATCAAATTCGCTAATCTTAAAGGGATTCAAAATCT